GAAATTGGCAAGAGAACCTGACTAGAACCTGGTGACTGAACCTGGCTGGAGAACCTAGCGAGGGAACATGGCTACAGAACCTGGCTGGAGAACCTAGCAAGAGAACGTGGACACAGAACCTGGCTGGAGATCCTAAGCAGAACTTCGCTGGAGATCCAGACCAGAACTTGGCTGGAGATCCTGGCTGGAGATCCTGGCTAGGCTGCTGATCAACTGAACACTGTCTCCGTGTCCTTCCTTCTTCGCCGACTCCGTCTACACCTTTGGGGACCCCTGGACCTGCTGGGGTTGGACCCCGGCAGGCTCCCCTGGTCCTCACCCTGACCCTGGTTGTGAACATCTGGCTGCTTCCACTGGGCTGTTTCCTGAAAGAGGAAGGATCTGTCCACACCCAGGGCTGAGAGAGAGGCCTGTTCCGTCAGGACTCAAGTGTGTTCAGTTGCAATGTCTCCCACACAGACAACTTTAAAGAAAATACTTGGATTTTCCCATTGTGTCTGCGAATTAGAGCTCCCATGATTCTCAGGGAGACCGACTAGTGTGGCGTTTAGGATGGGACAATGGGTTCTCATGAATGACCCCGCTTGGGAGCCACGGGGGCCCAGGAGTCAGCAGTGACTCAGGTGGGTCCCGCCACCAGCCAATGGCGTGCGCGCTGGTGCTGGTCCCTCCCACCCTGAGGCCCATAAAGGCTCCTGGAGGAGAGGGGCCCAGACTGAAGTCCCATCCACCCCTTCTCCACCCAAGGACACCCTCACCCCCAGCACCATGTGTGGCTACTACAGGAACTACTACGGGGGCCGCGGCTACGGAGGCTGTGGCTATGGAGGCTGTGGCTATGGAGGCCTGGATTGGGGCTTTGGCTCCTGCTGCGGCTGTGGCTTCCGCAGACTGGGCTGTGGCCACGGCTATGGCTCCTGCTCTCTCTGTGGCTGTGGCTGTGGCTGTGGCTGTGGCCATGGCCGTGGCTATGGCTCTGGCTTTGGCTACTACTGTTGAGGACACAGGAGAAATTATCTGCCCCCTCCGTCCCATCCTGCTTCCTGAGCCCTGAACCCTGTGTTCTGTGTCACCTCACAGGCTCATCTTCCTCCACAGCCTCGGGGTGATTGCTGAGTCCCTGCACAGGAGCCCCTGTCGGGGACTAACCGTCTGGGTCCTCATCCCCTCTCTGTGCTTCATGGAGAGAATGTGACCTTCATCCCTGACCCCCTGGCCTCCTCCACCTTGCAGAGCCATCGCTGCCGATTAGGACACTTTAACGCACCACTCTGTGTCCCTGTCCTAATGACCTGGTCAGCCTGACCTTGCAGCTGGGTTTCTGTGTGTTTATTTTGTGTGATATAATTTATTTTATGATTTTGGGATTTTCTATTTGCTTGATTCCAGGAAAAGTGACAATGTGTGTTATGACACACAGTCTCCTCATATTTCTACTTCAGTTGCTCTACCAGTTCTAAGTGTGTGACTTTTGAAAAGAATTTGATGTTGAGAAAATTAGACAGATGTGTGCAGAAATGAAAACTAGACCATCTTTTCACACCACGCACAAGAATAAACAGAAAATGAATTAAAGACTTAAATGTTAGTCCTGAAACCATACAAATCCTGGAAGAAAACACAGACAGTGAAATCTCAGACATTCCTCCTGGCAATATTTTTTTCTGATATATCTCCTGGGGCAAGGGAAAGAAAGGAAAAACAAACAACTTGGACTACCTCAAACTAAAATGTTTTTGCTCAGCAAAGGAAACCATCAACAAAATGGAAAGATAACCAATTAAATGAGAGAGCCAGTGATACACCTGATAAGGGCTTAATATCCGAAATTTATTTTAAATGCTTATAAAACTCAACATCAAAAGAACAAACAATCCAATTAAAAACAGGCAAAGGACCTGAATAAACACTTCTCCAAAGAGGATGTACAGAAGCCAAGGGACAGATGAAAAGATGCTCAATGTCACTAATCATCAGAGATGCGAATTAAAACCACAATGATGTGCCATCTCACACCTGCCAGAATGGCTGCCATCAGCAAATAAAGGAATGACAAGTGATGGCGAGGATGCGGGGAAAAGGGAACCCTCCTGCACTGCTGGTGGGAGTGCAGATGGTGCAGCCACTGTGGAAGGCAGTATGGCGTTTCCTCAAAAAACTAAAAATGGAGCTGTCTTACGACCCAGCAATTCCACTTCTGAGAATATAGCTGAAGAAGCACAAAACACTGATTCAAAAGAATATATGCCCCCAGTATTCACTGCAGCGCTACTTACAGTAGCCAAGAGCTGGAAACAGCCCGAGTGCCACCCTAGATGAGTGGAGAAAACAGCTGTCATAACATTTACACAGTGGGATACTACCCGGCTGTTCACAGAAAGAGAGAGAGAGAGAGAGAGAGAGAGAGAGAGAGAGAAAAGAAAGGCAAATTTTACCCTTTGCAAGAGCGTGGATGGACCTGGCTAGCATTTTGCTAAATGAAATAAGCCAGTCAGAGAAAAACAAATTCCTCATGGTTTCACTCAGATGTGGAACCTAATGAACAAACTGAACTACCAGCAAAATAGGGACAGACTCACAGACAGAGAGCAGGCTGACAGTTCTGAGGAGAGGGTGCTGCGTGGAGGGATTGAGCAAAAAAGAAAGAAGAAGGGAAAGAACTCAGGGACACGGACAGCAGTGGAGTGATGAAGGGGGAGGCGGTGGGTGGAGATGAAGAGGGTGGGGGGGTAATTGGGAAAGAGAAAATAAACTAGAAAGGAAAGTAAAACTGGAGAGGGAAGAAGACAGAGGAGAATGGGTGAAAATGTCCTCCTCTCCTACAGGGGACCACGTCTTTGTCGCTGGGAGTTTTCAGATGAAGTGAGATCATATTTCTCAATTAGTTTAGCTCTTGTGTAGCCCACCGTAAATTTTCTGCATCATTTTCCACCACAAACTCACCTGTGAAGTCCGCATTGCTTCAAAGTACTTCCTATGTTTTCCCCTCAAAAATATGGACAGAAAACTTCATTCTTGCAACGTGCAGTTCTGTGTTTGAAAAACCTAGTGTTGTAGTGCAGGTGCCGTAACCAAATCCTAAATGGGGCCACACCCCTCCCTCCAACCCCCGCAGGCTTTTCTCAACCCCCTTTCAGTCACTACCTTCCAAACCCCTAGACCCTGGAAATGGCTGCCTGTTCTACATGAATATGGCTGTGCTTTCCCAGGAAGCCCCATGATGTTGGGGTCCCCACCCCCGTCCTGCTTTGGGGAGTTTGCTAGAAGGACTCACATCATTATGCTCACGTTGAAGATCTGTCACAGGAGAGAGGTGGGGTGCACAGCTGGGTCAGCAGGGGAAGAACAGGCAGCCTCCGGGGGTCCGGGGGCAGGCGTTTCATGTCTCTCCTCCACGGGGCCACTCAGAGCTCACTCTGGCCCAGCAAAGGGAAGGGTGCGTCTGTGTGGTATCATTTCCACCCCAGGAAGCCCCTGGACACTCAGTGCCTGAGATCAGAGAGACACCAGCAAGATTCCAGGCCACCATGGGGGAAGGTGGCTCAGCAAAGCACAGGTGTGCAGACCCGGCACCATGAGCAGCCACTGTGTCAATGAGGAACTGAGAGAACACGCCTGACCCCTTCCTGACCTGGTGACGGCCGTAGGGTCTGCAGTGATGCCTCCATTTTACTCCTGCTCTTGATAAAATGCGTATTCTCTCCCTTTCTCTTTGTTAGTCTTGCTAAAGGTTTATCAGCCTAAACCTGTCAGAGAACCAGCTTTTGGTTTCATTTACTTTTCCTGTTTTTTGGAAAATGATACTGACTTCAGCGGTGGCCTGTATCGCCTCCTCCCTGCCTTCCTCCTCAGTGCTCCTTGCCGATGGTTTGGCGGAATCCTGTGTGACTGATCTGGAAACTTCCTTCTTTTCCAATGTAAAATGGGCTGCCATGGTTCCCATGTGAGCACTGCCTTCACGGCATATCACACATGTGCATATCTTTTGTGTTCATGTTCATGCAGTTCAAAATGTTTTATTTCCCTACAAATTTTCTCCTTTAGACACACACATGTGTGAGCACACACACACACACACACACATACACACACATACACACACATACATACACACACACATACACACACACTTATATTTAAAGTGATTTTCTTATACAAAATATACAGATGAGTTTGATTTTAGCCAGTTAGACAATCTCTGTGTTTAAATGTGAATTTAGATATTCACAATGTTTAATTTTTTAAAATATATTTTTATTGATTTCAGAGAGGAAGGGAGAGGGAGAGAGAGATAGAAACATCAATGATGAGAGAGAATCATGGATGGGCTGCCTCCTGCACACCCCCTACTGAGGATCGAGCCCACAACCCAGGCATGTGCCCTTGACTGGAACTGAACCTGGGACCTTCAGTCAACAAGTTGACACTCTATCCACTGAGCTAAGCCAGCTAGGGCACGGTCTTTAATTATAAGTCTGTACAGCAAACAGTATAAAGAGCTAAAGCCATCATGCGGGAGGCAAATTCCTGTTCTTTTTAGCGGAGAAGAGCTGAGACTCACAAAGCTCACAGATTTGTCCGCAGTTACATATCATGGAACCAGTACAGCAAAAAGAAATATTGAAGAAAAATCATTGTTATCCTACGAACAGCCAAAAACAAGGAAAACACGGCACAACAAATGAAAGGAGATGAAATGAGTTTTTTCTTCCAGATTCATTAGGAAATTTAAAATGCATTAGAGCAACAGAAGAGCCAATTTAACATAAAATTACAGAAATAGCAGTGATGCCAATCTCATCCTGATGTGAAGGGGAACGTGAGCTCACAGGATGAGTTTATATCCTCCCAGATATCAAGTGGCATCAGATGCAGACGCCAGGGCCCAGCAAATCCTATCTGAGCTGGGCAGCGTGTGGGACAAATCACCTGATGGGTGGGGTTCAGACCTGGGGAACCACTAGCTAGACATTCAGAGGGTGAGAGTCCCCATGGCCTCCTCAATAGAAGTAGCCAAAGCCAGAGCCATAGCTACGGCCACAGCCATAGCCACAGCCACAGAGAGAAAGGGAGCCATAGCCGCAGCCATAGCCACAGCCCAGTCCACGGAAGCCACAGCCACAGCAGGAGCCACAGCCACAGCCCAGGCCTCCATAGCCACAGCCTCCGTAGCCACAGCCTCCATAGCCACAGCCTCCATAGCCACAGCCTCTGTAGCCGCGGCCCCCATAGTAGTTCCCATAGTAGCCACACATGGTGCTAGGGGTGAGGGTGTCCTTGGGTGGAGAAGGGGTGGATGGGACTTCAGTCTGCACCCCTCTCCTACAGGAGCCTTTTATGGGCCTCAGGGTGGGAGGGACCAGCACCTGGGCGCACGCCATTGGCTGGTGGCAGGACCCACCTGAGTCACTGCTGATTCCTGGGCCCCCGTGGCTCCCAGGCGGGGTCATTCATGAGAACCCATTGTCCCATCCTAAACGCCACACTAGACAGTCTCCCTGAGAATCATGGGAGCTCTAATTCGCAGACACAATGGGAAAATCCAAGTATTTTCTTTAAAGTCGTCTGTGTAGGAGACATTGCAACTGAACACACTTGAGTCCTGACGGAACAGGCCTCTCTCTCAGCCCTGGGTGTGGACAGATCCTTCCTCTTTCAGGAAACAGCCCAGTGGAAGCAGCCAGATGTTCACAACCAGGGTCAGGGTGAGGACCAGGGGAGCCCAGCTCTCCAAACAGTGCTATCGCCGGAGGAGGTAGAGCCCTTTAACACGCTGAGAACATTTCATAAATTCACTCAGACTCAAGAGCCAGGCAGTGTATAAGAGAAATGTCAGGCATATGTTCCCAAGGGGAATTCTGGAAAGAGGAAACATGCTTGTCATTAGAGTGGATTTCCAAATGTCAATATTCCTGGAGGGCAGAAAACATCAGCGTGAGGTGGGATGAAGTATAATTTAAGAAATCCTTCTAGAATTTGGAGCAAAAATGTTATAAGAAAAATTATAGAAAATGTAAGGGCTGTGCGGATATATTTTAGAATCTGTCACTCAAAGTAAGGGATAAACAGAGAAGAGAGGAACAGGGGATTGTAATGAAAGACGTTTCTAAAGGGGAGGTTCAGAAACACAGATGTGGTCCTCACATGTACTTAGTGAAGCACCACCACCACAAGCTAATCACTGAAGGATGCTAATACCTAGATTATCCTGGGAGTTCTTGTGCCTTTTCTGGAAAAAACACTAGCTGGCCAGGAAATGCAATGTTTGTATTTCTATCAGAGAGATGAAACCTGTCATTATGGGGCCAGACTCTTGAATAAGCCGCCTCATCTCATCACATTTCTGTTGTAAATGGGGTGGTTTGACCACATCTGAGGGTTGTTCTGAAGATCATGTGAGATAATGCACATCAGTACTTCACACAACTAGTAAATGCCGTTAATTATCACTGTTGTTAGAGCTTTGACATAGGACCTGCATGACGAACACCAGGCAAGGTAAACAGAGACTATTCTTACAGACGAAGAAGCAGAAGATAAATCTTGCCTATAGTCGTACATGATGACACATATGAAGCACTTGTTAAATTCTAGGCATGTTCTAAGTGCTTTACATATTTTTAAACATGTACTTCTCACTAAAAACCTGGAATGGTGCTAATTTTTAGGCAAGAATGCCAAGGCCAAAGAAGTTGAATAACTTGCCCAATGTCATAGGTTGCCAAGTGACAGAGGCTAAATCCCACACAATGCGGTATGTTCATATACACTTTCTGACTCATGAGAGAGCTTGGGAGTTGCTAGCTCTTTATCATGGTAATGGATTGTTTATAATAGAAATCCATAATTTAGACTGATATAAATAAAGTTACAATCAAGTGGGAAGGAAAACTTCTTTGCAGTAGGACACCAGTTAATATATTTTTTAAATGATGAGAATCAAAAAACTCAGCATTTGCCATCCATCATCATGACTAACAATTCAGGCAAGAAAGAGAGATAAATGTGAAGGCCAGAGGTGAGTGCTGGGAGATGAATGGGACATCTATATCGTCACAAAACACCTCTAAAGAAGACTTCCTGATTGTGCAAGAACCATGAAAGCAGCTTCTGAGGAGAGTAATCTGGTCCTCACCATATGGGTCAACTGATCAAGTTATCAGCATCAGTAATGGCACAAGCCATCCTCCCTTCCCTCCCCGTGGGGGAAAGGGAACCAAATGTTATCACTTCCTGTATTTGCTTCACAAAATCCATAGCCTTGTTCTAACCAAAAGGAATGTTACACTATCCAACCTGAAGAATATTCTAAACAGAATTTCCTTCAAGCTACAGAAATATGGAAGTCCTGGACGTAACTACGCCACGTGGTGGCGGGTCCTGGCCTGGCCCTGGGTTCGACTGTTTTTCTGGAAGTGCATCACTGGGGCAACTGATGTTGGAATGACCATTGAGGAAGGAAGAGCAGGGAGCAGCCTGGCCCACAGGGGTCTAGGGGACCATGTGGGACCAGGAGTTGGGATGGACCAGAGTTGCTGGGGCAGGAAAGCGGGTGTGCCTTCATGGCCCTGCCAACCCTGGGGTGGGTGCTTGGAATGGGCAGGACCTTGTGTGCCAGGCTCTTCAGCTGAGCTATTTGTGTAGGCGGCTCACAGCCCAAGGACCTCTGCCTGTGACCCCTCAGCCCTGGGGGTCACGTCCTCCCTGCTGACCAGGAAAGTGGGGACGGCACGGGTCAGTAGAGAACTCGTCTACAGAACAATTCCCCAGGGCGGTGCCCAGGTGAGGCACAGCCTTGCAATAACCTTCTGAGCGTTGGGTGGTCCAGTCATTCTTTTCCAAAATCCAGCACATAGCCCATCAGCACTTCCCCGACTGCACAGCCTTCTCAGTGACACGTTAATCACATATCGTCTCCTCAACTGTGCTCTCAGATTTCATTCTACAACACGTATCCACTCAATGCCTGATTAAGCATCAGTTTTCCTAATTTCGGGCACATTTGATCATCTTTGTCTTACAAGTATTCACTTATAAAATGTCTAATTATTACAATTGATATGATCAAAAACAGATTGTGGCATTTTCTAGGGAGTAATTATCTTTGAATCTTAAGCGTGTGTCACTGTGTTAACATCATGGACTAATAAGAGGTGGGAGATGCTCTGGATTCCATGGGATGCTGGTTACAAAGGACAATACATTGCAAAGTATGACCCTTCCCTCTAATTTAATTCTGTGTCAAAAATAATAAAAAAGGCACTTGGGGAAATGACCATGGACTATGAATTAGATGACAGTGTTGTATCAAAACCATATTTCTTTTGGGGATAATGTGATTGCAGTTACTTGGGAACCATCCCTGTTCACTTGATAATAGTGTCATGAATTCTACAGAATAGTTTCCAATGGTTCAACAGTGTGGTGTATGTGTGTGTGTGTGTGTGTGTGTGTGTGTGTGTGTGTGTGTGGTGGGTTGTGTAGGGGGTGGAGGTGGAGATACAGGGAGAGAAAATGAAACTGACAAATATTAATTTTTCATATCGAGGTCAACAGCATTCAGGTGCTCACTGCACTATATTCCTGGGTTCACTGCGGGTTTGACATTTTCCAATATTAAAGTCTTGGAGAAATACATTCATATCTAGGCAGATATTGCTTTGGGAGTACTGAAATCTGCAATGAGTCACTACTTCAATGCCTAAATTTAAGTGGTTCCTGTTTCAAAGACCAAATAGAGTAAATAGAGTGAATAGTTGGAGTCTAAAGTTTTCACGGTAAGAAAAGAGACCCAACAGTGGAATGGGGTTCAGTGTAGAAGCACCTGTGTTTTCCAGGTTCAAGTGGAGCAATTCATTATCTGAAGACTTTAAAGTCGTCAACAAGCCAGTGTGAGTACAAACGAGAGAGATGTTTGTTTGGGCTGTTAGTGGTGGCATTGACCTTCAAGTTAGACACATCAGGGGGCCTAAAGACGTCAACCAATTAACACATGTGTAAGGGGCCAATCATGGAAAATTATAATCACCAAGAATATTGTCTTGTGAGCTTACAATTAAGTCTATTATCTAATTTGAGTCACTATCTAATTTATTTGTAGTCAACTATTGTGACCTATGGAATAAGAGAAGTAGCTTTAACAATCTCTTTCTTGAGATAGACCAAGACCATTCAGTTTATCACAATATCAAGTGGAAAATGATAAGCTTTATGAGTAAAGTGAGGAGCGAAGACAAGTCTTCACAGAAGATTGATGTGAAGACAAGAAGCTCTTTCTTCTGCGCTGTGACCTTCCTGGGATCCTAGTTCCTTCTCAAAGCCTCATTTCCTTCCTGCCTCTGACCAGTGGAAATGAATGGGACAGGCCATTGTCTGACGCTAACACACTCCTCACACTCGTTCAGGGCCAACCCGGGAGCCAGGACCCCCATAGCAGGGAAGGTAAATCCAAGTTTACAGATCCATCAGTCACAGAAAATGAGTGGGAAAGGAAATGACTGACAGCTACAACTGTGGACACCCACCAATTAGAGGAAAGAGACAAGAATATAGAACGACAGCAAATGTCGCCAACACTTAAATATGTGATGAATGATAGAAAAGGTTTCACTTCAAACATAAGGTCTAGTTCAAGACACGTAAAGATAATGGAGGTGGAGCAGGTTTAACCTCCTCTGCTCTTACCTGGGCAGCATCAGAAACCACTTCCTGTTCAAATCGGCCCCAAGTGATTAGATCAGGAATTATGTGTCAACTTTCAGACCTTCTAGGATTTCCTCCGTGAAGGTTTCAGTGTCTAAGCACTTAGCCTGTGAGTGTTTTCAGGTGATGCTCAACTGGACTGACACATGTTCCCTCCTTGAACCCTAACCCTAAGTCTAACCCTAATCTAGACCTAACCCAAACCCAAGCCCTAACAATAACCCTAGCTCTATCCCTAATCCTAACCCTAATTATAATCTAATCCTACCCCTGGCCCTAACGCTAACCCTAACCCTAACCCTAACCCTAACCCTAACCCTAACCATAGCTCTAGCCCTAACACTAACCCTAACCTTAGCTCTAGCCCTAACCCTAACCCTAACCCTAGCTCTAGCCCTAACCCTAGCTCTAGCCCTAACCCTAACCCTAACCCTAGCTCTAGCCCTAACCCTAACCCTAACCCTAGCTCTAGCCCTAACCCTAACCCTAACCTTAGCTCTAGCCCTAACCCTAACCCTAACCCTAGCTCTAGCCCTAACCCTAACCCTAACCC